TGGCAGTTCAGACAGAATTCGGTGCACTTGACAAAACGGCGAAGGCTATATTGCATCGCAATGAGAGGAAGGGATAGCTGATGTGCCGTGTGCTGTGGCAGATCATCTGCTTTGACGAAGCCGGGTGTGAACTTGGCCCATTTCTCCGGAACAAAGTATTTGGGAAGCTTGGCATCCTCGGGATCTAACTTCTTACCCTGAGCGTCATTGTAGAATATTTCTGCGCCTGTCCATGAGAACCCGTGCTTGAGTCGATCTTGTACAATATTAACGAACCGATCATTGAGAAGGATCTCTAACGGGTCAGTAATGAACGAAGATATTAAAGCCGAATTGGGCATCGAGCTTGATACACCGGGGCTCGAAATCTCCTGGTGCGTCTCTGGGATAGACATTGTCGTGGGCTTGTACCTATCGCAAAGACCGACATACATCTTGACTGGCGAAGGGGCTGTCTGTGACTGGGATACAATGTGGTCTAGACTCCGGTAACCCCATGGATAATGAAGAAGCAGCACTATAAAATGCTGGGGGCAGACATTCCACATTTGCATAGCGTCTTGTGAAATGCCTAGGCTAGCAATGCGGCAGGAAACAGACACAATGAAAGAGCCCTCCAGGTCGCCAAGATAGCCGACTTTGAAGCCTGCGCTTTTAGCTGCTCGAAGATCAGTCCGCAGTTGCTTCATATCCACAAAATGGTCCATCCGTGGGGCATCAGAGTACTCATCCCAGGCGATATCTTCATCATCTGAGATGGCGTCGAAGTCGTCATCTACTGGGGAACTCGCACGCGGTTCTTTCCCAAGGGCAGCCTGGTCAAGATAATCACAAAAGCCTTCTAGAAATATTTCCAAGGAACAACCATTGAACTTGGTTTGTACTGTCTCCAGAAGGGAGGACACGGCTGGGGGGATATTGTCCGTGACAGCGAACGCAAAATAACTGTGATCATCGGGGTATTCAGTGGCATCTACCACGTCATTAGTAAGAAAGACCAAGACCACATCATTTAGGTGCTCACATACCGAGAATGGAGACAATAAATTCAATGTGCATGCAGGACTGGAAGCTGTAGGTAAAGGCAATGGTACTGTCTTCGTCACCGAGCCTGAGGTGACTCAGATGGGAAAATTTCGCTCGAAGGCACGCATCGGAAAGGTCCTTGCGAAAGGCTTTCCAAGGCATGCTGATTGCTGAGGATAGAACAAGTTTATTCGTCAAGTTTAACTGGGAAGCCGATCAAGAAGTGTGACAGAAGGGGAGACGTAATGGCGCAAAGTGAGGAAATGCAACGGGTCAGTTTTCCGTGCAAGGCTCGGTGGTGGAAATAAGGCGGGGCAGTCAGGAACACATCAAGTATGGAGAAGCAACAGCGATCACGGTGGTGAAAGGAAGATTTTTTGATGAGGTTCGAGACAGTTGATGGCTTCAGTAATGCAGCGCTTTTTAGGGATTTTGTCAAAAGTTATCTGTAGATATAAATGTGGTAAGTATATGTAGTTGATAAGGCTGTTTGATGTTCCTGTGGCTGTAAGCCACTCGAAGGGGATAGGCTAACAGATTAGTAGATCACGTTACTCCCTGTTGTTGTTTTGACTGAGAATCTAGGCATCCAGCGGTAAGGGAGATGGGCAGGATGCCTAAACCATTTATGTAGGCGGAGGTACAACATAGACTATTTAATTATGTGATGAATAAAGAGGTCTTAGTCTCGCAAGATACCGGGGTCTCACATAAACAATAATCCCACAACACTTTGTTATATGATTCATATCTCTTGAAAAGGAAACCTCAGGATTCTGTAGAGTCTTCGATGTGACGAATACTGGTTGTGGTGTGTTATTACTAGGAGGTAATATCTTGCATGCGTACTACCGGATCTTCCTGTGGAGTACTCCATACTCAAGCAGCAAGAACCCTGGCCTGTGCGCAAATCTTACTTTCTGCCTTTTCTTTTGCCAGGAACCTGAAAGGATCATTGTGGGTTAGATAGCACATCACGCGCCGCGGAATGATCCTCGCGTCTAAGCAACCCACGATCGCTTTCCTTTGATTCGCAGATATGTCATACATGCTATACAGATTGGATCTGGGGGTTCCTGGCCAGAAATGGAACTAACCAATCGAGTATCACGCTGGGTTGACCCTGTAGTAGAATTAGTACAGGACATCCATTCATCTTTGAAAATCAAGTGGATAAAGTGCTTACCAACCCCTCCCCCAGGCCTCCACCGCAACATCCTCGATTTCAGTGCCTCTCTACTAAAATAGCGGTAATATACTACTCCACCTGTTTTTTATGATTGTTTTTTATGATCAAGCATAGCTGACATGTTTCTAATCAAGACCTCTACCTGCCACAACTGTCTGCTTACCTGCCCCTTTGTAAGATTGAGGCCTTTGAAAGGCGTGAAAACAGTATTATCTGCATGATCCTGATATATGAACACCAGGACCCCAGCTAGTAACTATCTGTTCGATCAAAACACAAATCACCAAGGGGCTGCAGGAGGCGGTAGAGGACATTTGTTTCATAGAGAAAGAGATATCTTGGATCAATGTTTGTAGAGGTACTTCCCGTGCGTTTGCTTAGGTAGAGGCAAGGTAGGGATTGTGTTGTTTGGAGAATTGGTTGAAAGCGTGTTATCTTGCTTGCTAGCAGTGGGTAGGCTACCTGAATTGATGACCATGGGATGCCGCGGTTTAAATCGCATGAGGAAGGTCAGTGATCTGTTCATCTAGTACATAACAGGTAGAGCTCCAGATATCTCGATTTCAGCAGACATGGGTAGTGGAACCGAGGAAGTTGCACTGATTTGGGATGGTCGAGTGGAGAGCAAGTGGGACGCCACCCCTTCCGAATCAGGAAGTTCCCGCGTATTCGTTTAGGATGGCGCGCCTCATTTGCGAATTGCTACGGGCGTCCCCCCACTGTAACAGACATCATCGACTATCAATGGGTCTTAACAGCTTTGACACTCAAATCCTATTAATATCCTGGGCAATGCTTTCAGATGAAAAAAAACATGTGGGACAAGCCACTACACAATGGTACAAAGGTGTGCCATCCCGCTCCTCCTGCACTTCTCTTTTTTGCGATCACTTCTCAGCATCTCCTTTGTCACTAAAGCCACCCAAGTCTGGGTTGTGTGCTATTCCTCACAATGCCCATCACCGTGTCGTTGATTAACCAGCAGCAATGGTACGCTGGAAATGACCGAATCAGAGGTCGCATTGTCTTTCAATGTTCCACCCCAACGGAAATTCAGGACATTCGAGTGACATTCTCCGGGCGCGCAAAGGCAAAGGTGCAGAAGACCAAGGGATCCGCAGCCCCTGCCGCCAGTTATCGAAGCAAGTGTATGCTTTTCGAAAAGGAGAGGATTCTATGGCACCCAAATGGCAATACAGTTGCCCCTGATACGTATGAATGGCCGTTTGAGTTTGTCTTTCCATCACATGTCCAATCCGCGTCTTCAAGATGGTCAGAAACTTTGCCTTTCCGCAGCGACGCAAATCATCCCTTGCCACCAACCTTTGCAACGCAAACTCATGATTCTTTACGGAAGCTGGAGTGCACCATCGAATACCGAATTCACGCCGAAGTGTTTAGACCACAGCGGGGGATCTTAGGGAGAAAGTCACCATTGTTCTCTGAGGTCATACGATTGAACTTTTTACCGCTTGAAGCTAGATTGGAATTGAAGAGCACAGATGACTACCCCACGACATATCAACAACAGAAGGAGCAGCTTTTCAATATTCGAAGCATGCTTCTACTCCCAGAAAACAAGGGAAGAAGCTTAAAGGTACAGGAGAAGATCCAGTCATGGCTTTCACCTGGTCAGCTGCCTCGGTTCAGCTTCAAAGCGTCTTTTTCCTATCTCACACGCCTGGTACAATCCACACCAATTCCATGCCTTTTAGATATTACGCCGTTTATGGAGGACTCCTCTGTTACATCACCTCCCGACATTGTGATGCAATCTCTGTCCATCTCCATGGTCAGTCAAACTGCCGCTCGGGCCGCTCCGTCTCTAATGGGAACATTATCGGGCCAAGTTGACGAGCGGATTGAGATACTATCACGGACGTCGCTCGGTATGCCAGTTATGGGGAAAGTGGACTTAGCACAGGCCTTTGGACCTCTTAGAATCAGGCATACGGATGTATCTTTCCGCACATTCAACATCAGCAGGACGTATCGGTTGTGCGCGTCATTTTCATTTGAATGTGCGGGGAAAACAAGTACCTTTGATATTCCTGATCTTCCGGTGGAGCTATTGGCAAACTCTCGAGAGCCAGAAAAAGCTACTCAAAGCTTCGAAGGGTACGTTGCGGAGGCAGAAATCCCGCCGCCGTATGCATCTGCTTCAACCCTGTCAACATCATCAATTATAACGCCTGAGAAAGCCTGAGTAATGCTATGCTTCTCTTATTGGCTGTATGCCCAGCGTGCTATTCTCGGTAGCCGCTCTGGACCCGTCAGTTAGGAGACCCGGGGCATAACTAATGGCTTGTGAAAGATAGACCAAGACAGTGAGGACAAGCCTGATTGTTGCGACTGCTCAAAGCTCAATCAAGCTACAACCTCTCGTGCCTTCTTATTGAGAGACTGATCAGCACATGAACTGCGACTGAATGCATCCAACATAGATTGTAAGGACTTTTAGGTTTGAAGCCATATTCTTCAGACACCACACAATGATCTCGTACCTGTGTATGATTACGGCTCAGTGGAAGTGCTGATTGGTGTTCTGACCATGCTCTAATGCGGGTAAAGTGGCCGGTCCCTAAGCTGATTGCTAGTTCAGGTTAAGTCCCACAACTACGGCGTCTAAACAAAGCATTTGATTGGACGCTGACCTGCCTGTCACGCTGTTTGGTCACAATGCATCGCATCAATCAAAGAAAGAGTGGAGATCTGAAAGGTAATCATTGGGGTCTTAAAAAAGGCGGGGTCTGCGCTCGCATTCCTGATCATCCCATTAATGAACATGGCTGCTATGATCACTCCGGGGTCTCCGGTCAGGTTGGTTCCTGGAACACGCCGTCGATCTTTAAATCTGGCCATCTTATTTCTCGTTATCCTAGCTTTACTCTGGTCTTTGTTATTTCATGGGAACATTGGACACGGCCGAAATGTTAAGCCCGACGAGATCCGGGACCCCTTCGACGCGATCGCAAACAACACACTAGGTGTATGTTACTCCACCACCTCGCTGACCTTTCACCCGAAATATTGACATATTATAGTTTGAGAAAATATTTGCGATTAGCCCGGTACAACGCTTAGACAGACGCGATGCGATTGTACTTGCATCCTCAGCTACAGGATTTCACGTCGACTTCATCGACGGGTTTGTCCTCGAGGAAGATAGCGCCAAGGTTAGTGGAGCTGGAACGCACGATGGATGTCTGCTTACTGTTCGTGGTAGGGATTGAACGAATCAAAGAAGGGCGTTGAAGCCTTTACTGCTTCCCGCCCGCATGCGAATGCTGTACAGAGGTAGCGACCTGTCTTACATACTGTTCATTCAAATCATCTAATGGAATCTATAGAATCGTCGCAGCTGGGATCGCAAGCGCACTAATACTTGAGGACGACATTGACTGGGATATAAATATCAAAATGCAATTAAAAGGACTCGCCCTAGGCGCTCAGCAAATACCGAGGATCAACTCTCCGGAAAGCAATGCGACCACAGATTCTCCGTACGGTGACAGCTGGGACGTTCTTTGGATCGGTCACTGTGGTATTAAATGCGACGGCTCTTCACCTATTCAGTTGATGCCTCACGACATAACGGCGATGCCATCTCGCTACCTTCCGCCTTATTCGTACGATCCCCCAGCTGGAACTGGGAACAATGTCCGGATGGCATGCATGATAGAAAAGGCGGCATGCAGTGCGGCGTACGCCATTACATACAGGGCGTCCCAGAAGATCCTCGCTGCTTCGACACGGCTCACAGACGATGACAATATGGATTTCCCAGACCTCCTTAGTGGACTTTGTCACAATGGCTCATTGGAGTGCTACTCGTCTTACCCGTCGCTAGTTGGGAGATGGAAAGGCGGCAGAAAGGAATATTCCTCGGATAACGACCAACAAGTCGTTAATAGCCCGATGTCTCATTCCTCTGGGGTCATGTACAGTACTCTGGGGAATATTGAGCACATATTGGACGGAGAGTGTGCCGTGCGAGCCACTATCGATGATGCTATAGTTCCAGAGCTTATCCCAGATCTCTTTGAGGTACCCCATTCATTTCTTCAGTGGACGGATAAGAGAGGGGGACATGAAAGAGCGTTATAATAATGCATGCAAAGAAATTTTTAACAAAAGAATATCACTCCCTGTTCAAATAGCTACACTAAGTGAAAGGATCACTTCCTAGCGGCTCACTAAGCAGTCAGCACGTGTCCCGCCAAAACAGGCGACAGCAAGACAGTCATGGCTGCTTCTCATTTCTCATATGTCGCAGGCTATCTCAAACGCGGAACGAAGAGAGTGTCCAAGATCGAAATGCACAACGCGCTGCTCGCCAACGCACCAAGGACCGCCTCGCACTGTTGGAGCTCCAAGTCTCGCAGCTGCAAGGCGGCGCAGACAAGGCACTTTCGGATGAGCTCAGGCAGATGCGCAAAGAGCGCAACGAGTTGCGCACACTGGCCGATCATTTAGTTACTATCGCTGAAGCGATGAAATTAACATTGAATTCCACCGACGATAAAGCCGCCCAGGCTGGTACAGAAGAAGGACACACTGAACCGGATCCTGGTCTAATTAGTCGAATCTTCCTCGACTACGAAGACCTGAAGACGGTCGACTCCACGCCATTTTCACCGCTCTGTGACACGCACATCATAGTACATGGAGTATTAAATGGCTGGGATGATCCTGTTAGCGAGAATGAGGAATCGATACAGCGCCTCTTGGCTCACTTGCATCGCCGGTTCATGCTTTTGCGACCATTGGCAAGGCCGATAGACCAGCTGGCCTTGCTGTACCTTGTTCAAATGGCGTTCTTGGTAGGTGGTCATCACAAGTTAGCATACGCTTTATTAACTCGGGTATAGTCTTTGCTCACGCAACATAGCGGGTGCCATTTATATGCGTCACAGATTCCAGGCTGGCTACGACCAACGTGAGCGAGATCAGAGTCCGTTCTTGACCTTTACTGACTCCTTGAAGACCAATCCAGATGAGCCTCCCTCATAATATCTCCATAGACATGCTACCATGGTGATTAAAGTTATTCCCTCGATAGAACTCGCCTAACACAAATCCAGGCCACAACTACGCTCCCACTTGCTCTCTACCCAATCAGAAAATGCCATAATTACCCATAACGAAGCATGTGAGACATTTGCGATGGATGCGCTTCGCGACATGTACTTTTCCCCGGCGCTAAAATTCGAAGACGCATACGAAATCGGCCTTGACCGCAGACTAGCTGTTAGTCCGCAATTTCGACAATATTTTTCTCCAGCTTCTGTCTCGTGTCCTTTCGCTGTCGGATCGGACTTTCTCATCGCACATCCTGATCTCCGAGGTTTCGTTCCTGAGTTTGTCAAGGAAACAATTAGTAGACCACAACATTGTACTGAGGGGATTTCCGAATTGGCAAGTCTATCACCGTTTGACCAGCCGTGCTTACTCCTAGAGAAAGATCCTGAAATTCCCAAACTCCTTTCATCGCAAGAAAAGTCATCGTCTCAAGATCTCTGTGGGTCGGAAGATGCGAACTTGTGCCATCATTCTCAGCCATTAAACCTGATGGACCCGACCGAAGGCGACTTCGGTGGCGAGCCGAGTAGCTATTGGCATGACTCCGTTGAGCTAATGGGCTATGATGACATCGATGCAACTTGGCTTCTGAGGTCGACCGTCCCAGCTGAATCTCACGATCAACTCAGCGAGGGCCAGCCTAGCTAGCTAGGTAGTGAGATTAACTTACGTTTGGACAGGCTTTGTGGCCAAAATTACTATATAGACCAGGTTTAGAATGCCGGGGAGTGGATCAAGTTATCAATTCGTGGCATGAACTAAAACAACAAGATCTACTTCTCGCCGAACACCAGACATTCCTTTCATCCCTCACTCATACATGTTTCCCTGCGCTCTCAATAGGTGCCCCACTGCTGCAGCCGTCATCCTCCCTACCAGTCAGGCCAAACTTTGTCTCAAGCTGTTCCCGCATGGGCACCTCCTTGATAATGAAAGCTACCACAAACGCCAATAAGCCGAACGCGATTCCTACCTGCCACACCAACCTCAAACTGTCAACATAAACCCCCAAGACCTGCGCCTTAACACCAGGCGTTGAATCCAAAGACTGCATGAATGTCTTCGACGCCAGTGCATATGCCCCACCATTTCTCAACTCCTCCCGCAGTACAGAACTCTTCACGCAATCCACCAAAGCATTCACTCTGGAATTGAATACAGCCGACGGTATCGCCCCACCCCAAAAACCCCCAAAACTGCGCAAAAACGCCCAGGTAGCTGTCGCAACGGCTACATCTGCCTCAGGAAACGGGGCCTGAATGGCCGGCAACGTGGTCGTAAGAAGCACTCCGCTCCCAGCTGCAGCGAGAATCTGCACCCCAACCCAATACCCCGTCGAAGTCATCGCGTTCAGCCTTGTCAACAACCCAAAAGAAATAGTCAGCAAGATGACCCCAATGAACTGAAACGGGCGATACCGGCCCAATATAGACAGCCCGGCCCCCGCCAGAATCGCAAACGGGATCGCCACAACAGCACTAGGAAGGAAATCCACCCCAGACGCCGTAGACGACGCCTCCAAAACCGCCTGAAAATATACCGGAAGAAAGTATGTCATCCAGTACGTGAGGATGGCATGCAAAAACGTCAGCCCGAACGTTGCCAGCGACGTCCGATTCGCAAATAACCGAATCGGCATCGTCGGTTCTTCCACGCCCTTCCCTGACGCCTGAAAGACCATAAACCCAGCGAGACCCAGAATCCCCAACACAAGCGGCAGGATTGTCCTCCACGACGACCAGGGATGCTCCGTTCCACCCCACGTCAAAGCCAACAAGACCGCAAGCACCGAGGCAACGAGAAGCGTATTCCCAGCAAAATCCACCCGCTTCAACATATCCCGTATCGAATCCTTCTCATACTCCGTCCTCAAGAACAACACCAAAAGCACCAGCGCAGCTCCCGAGATTGGCAAATTCATATAAAATATCCATCGCCAGGTCACCCGCTGCGTCATGATCCCACCGATCACAGGACCAAGACTCAACGCCACCGCAAAAACACTGAATATGATTCCCATATACTTTGGCCGCTCACGCAGAGGAATGAGATCCGACACGATGATGTCAACGAGCACGTTGATACCTCCGCCGCCTACGCCCTGGGTCGTACGTCCGACGATCAGGACATTCGTGGACCTGGCAGAGCCAGAGACAGCAGATCCGATGGCGAAGAGAACAACAGAAAGAATAATTAGACTGCGTCGGCCAAATATATTAGCCGACTGGCCATAGAGCGGCTGAAACGCAGTGCTGGTGAGAAAGTATGCGTTCGCGATCCATACGTAAGCGGAGCTGGAGTCGAGGTCGTGCACGATGGTAGGCATGGCGGTGGAAATGACCGAGGTGTCGAGGGCGGAGAGAATGGACGTTATAGATAATGCGATGAAGATGGTCTATAAGTAGTTCCCATATGTGTTAGTATATACTCTATGTCGAAGATGATGTTAGGAAGTAGATACCCAGAAACGCCAGTCTTTCTCTTCACCTTCCCCTCCGTGTAAACTAGACGATACTTGAGGCTCCATAATAAGAGATAAATGTAAGAGTTGTAAAGGATTTGATCTGTAGTAGAGACGTTCAAAGAAATAATATCTCTGAATATCAGAATCCCCAATCATACCTGAAATTCTATATAGTATGGGGTTAATGCCTCAGGCACCATTCTGACTCGGAGATTGTGGACCGACTGACTCTCTCGGCGGTGGGGCGCCTGACCCGGGCAGTTCGGGGCCGATTAACTAACTAGTTAGTTATCACCCGCTGGCCTTATCAAACCCAGATTCAGTCGAGCAACATAACATGTCCAGCATCCTCTCCTTCCTCTACGCCCAAACCATCGGCCGCGTCCTCCCCATCAACGTGGACCGCCTCCCGATCGTGGGCCGACGACTCCCAGCACTCGACGGCATGGAGCAGGACGACTCCGCCGTCTCGTGTCCCGTTAACCCCCCTCTCCCGACAACGGAACGGACCGTCTTCAGCCCCGGAGGATGCCTGGTCTATGGGTACCCCTCCACCGGTGGCGTCCTCATTAAAAACGCTGACCTGGTTGACCTGCTTTTCCTCTCGCTCCCGCGCTTTCAGGCCGTGCAGCGCGCATCCAGTGTCGACGAGGAGGACAGGTTCTGTAAGCTCTTGCGCCGGACTGGGGCGACGTGGTGGCCGAGTAGGGAGGATGAGCTTGAGGCGGTTCTAGGGGTGAGAGAGATGACGGAGGAAGAAAAGAAAGTGCTGGTGTTTGGGTGGCCGGCGGATGGTGTAGGCGTGTGGGTGTTGAGGTTTGCGAATGCCGAGGAAATGCCAAGGGGTTTTATGAGAATCAGTTTTGCCATGAAAATGGAGGAGAGGATACAGATTATGAGAGAGTATGGCGCTGCCTTTGTGGAGGATGTCTCGCAGGTGGAGGAGCTTCGTGAAACGCTTTGAGGCCGAGTACTAGAGTACCCTAGTCTTGGGATGGGTACCAAGTTGTGTAGAACATCTTGAATATACTATATAGTAGCCAAAACCACTGGCTTCCTCCAGTTTGCTCACAGCAAATAGTCAGGAACTGGACGTTCTCAGGCGAAGTCGGAGTGAAAGGCTCACATGTCCTGCAGCTGTGGCAGTGGCTTGCTTCGGCTAAGTTCTATGGCTTCTTTCCCCTCAGCAATTCGCACAATCTGAGCGCCAATTACTTGTGCGCTTTTACGAGTGGCTTCTATTTTGCGATCGGTGCCATTTGGGTGGTCCCGAGTGAACTGGTACCTGTGGTACAGGTGGGAGCGAGCCCAGGAAACTGTTGCAGATTGACCTGCCAGTCGATTCTGGCGGCACTACCAGTACTGGATGAATTCCCTAGCGCAAGCAGCTGCAGTGAATGCTGCATATTTCTGCCACAATTTGTTCTTGTGGCTATCAGCGTAGTCACAGACTCCCTTAATGACAACACAGGGTAGGGCATCCCAAGCACCTGCTCCTTCCATCTCGAATGCAATAACATCCTCGTTCTCCGCGATCTGGTCCCGATGTATAGCGGACTTGAGAACGCTATCTCCAGAGGCCATGAGACCGACATGTACAAACGGTTGGTTCTTTTGATTTTGCCGACGTCGTTTTACGATGTGTATCTCCTCGCAACCAGTCACTTGACAGTTGAGTTCTGGGGAAACGTCGCAGACGGAGTCGTTGCTGTTGCAGCAATCTGCACACACTCGACACACCTGGCGATTGTGGTGTTTATGACGATACCAGGATGGGAATAACCTGTCTTCCATATCTCCAGGGTAGGATGTCACATCTTCGTCCAAGCCATCGAGGAAGGCGGTAATCTTATGCTGGGCGTTCTCTCGGTGAAACTGAGTTTCTAGTGCCGCCAACACCGAGCCAATTTGTGGGTTCGGTCTACCTAATGCTGCTTCCATTTCAACCTTCCGTTTAAATCCATCCGAGTACTGTCGTCCATGATCGTATTGTATGACTCCTTTGCTAATCACAACATCACCAAGTAGGACATCCTTGTTGTGTTTATATGGAACGCCTCCGCACACCCCAACAATGAGAGCCAGCGTCACTTTGGTAAAACTCATGGCACACGCGGTAGCGACATTGGCGGCAGGTGCTTTGCCAGAGCGTGGAGGATGAACCAATACAACATTTCGACCACGCATAACGCCCACAGAGTAAAAGTTTGGATCATTCGTTGCCTTGCCGTACAAGTCTTTGTCCCAGTGATGGTCGAAAGCAGACAAAACTGCATCGGCTTCTGGAGGGAGTGCACAAATGATGGCTATGTCGAAGCCATCTCTAGTCTTCGGTCTCACAGGCTCCGGGGTGCTGGATGGTTGGCAATGTTGTGCCCTGTCATTGGTAAGCAGGGTTATGTCGCTAGAGGGGTTCTGTTGGAAATCTTCCATGGAACCATTGACCTCTGATATTGCGAGTAAGCTTGACGCATGTCCTGGTGATTTGCTCCACTTTTGTTCTGTATTTCGAATTCGATGAGTGCTGTCATTCAAAGGGGGGTAATTTTTCGACTTGATGATTTTGCAAACTCCTTGATCGCCAAGGTCGCGGCGTTTCAGCCAGTTTACTTCGTCCCACGTCCACTTGGCCCCATTCACAAGGTCTTCTTCCAACGGTCTGATAGCCTTCCTGTAATAGGCGTCCACAAATTCTGAATCGGTGAAAACAGTCTCCTTTCCCATGTCGGCGAAGCGAAGGAACGAAGTTTGATCCGTACAAAATTTGACGGCCCGCATTAGTCCAGTCCCCAAATGGAACCGACGCTCACACTCCTCCCATAGCTTCTTTGCAAGCCTAGATGGCTTGTTTCTCAGTCCAGCAAAAGATGGCTGACCGTAGATGTCAACAAGCTCGTCTCCTAGCTCCATTTCTGCCAGCGCGATCCCGAGGGCAAGGATTGTCGGAAACGGGTGAATGCTGTAAGGAGGCCGTCGGCTAGCTTGGGGACTGCTTTCGCTATCAATTGCCTTAAAAGCCGTCGAGAGGAATACCCTGTCAAATAATGGGCATGGATAGCCATTCTGCACTTTGCAGAAGACGAAGATATCATCGATAGATAGATACGAATTGACCCATGGTCCTTCCAGAAGGTGTAGAAGAGATCGCGTTAATACCAGCCCCAGAACTCGCTTTGCTGCATATGTGGGCTTCACAATCTCCAGCAACTTTCGAAGACTTTCAAGAGATCTTTCAGCACACTCTTCCTCGAGCTGTAGGACCTCAAGTGGCTGCCCTAATTCCAGACCCCATAATCGGTTGTTGTCGTCCTTCGTCAGCTGCAAACAGACGTCTTTCGAGGCTTCGTGATCCACAAGGCATGCAGGGGTGTTCTCATTATTTACAATACTGGATATATGTTAGCTACTGGCTGCTCTGGGAAGGCAGGGGCTATTTAACTTGGTGGGAAGCCAATGAATCCGGCATTCCTGAATGATATCTGAACCCGCCAACAGGATAAAAAAGCTACCGCGCGATGGATCCGGATCGCGCGAACTCCACTGGGGGTCAAGGCAGAACTTTGCTTCCACACAATGGCCTAACTTTCCGCCATGCTCATGCCCTTCCAATTGACAAGGCCAATTCTCGTGCAGTGTGTGGTACAGATTCTGCGACAGATAGCGGACGCTGGTCCCACCACGAATAGCTGCCTCGCTGATCGGCGGGTTCGGCTGTGCCTTTTCAGTGAAGTCTTCGTCATCATCAAGAAACTGACCACGATCGAGTTGTTCTACCAGCTCATTGACCAACCTGGTCAGGTCTCGAATTACTCGATAATCATCAACTAGGAGCTCTCTGACCCGTAGCTCTCGTGGTAAAGAGCTTTGAAAAAGCTCACAGACCATTCCAAGATATGAGTAAGGGGTTTGTGTCCAATTTTGCATAGACTCTTTAGAGCTGTCAGCCCAACTGGTGAACAACCAAGGCCACCACTTGGAGAGGCTAAGAGGTTGCGTTTCTTCTGCCTTTAAATGCTGATACTTCGCCTTGACGAAGTCCTTGCGGAAAGCCCCGTCTAACGCTTTCGCCAGGTTCTCAAATGCCCTCTGTAATTTTGGTCGTTCGAAGAGGGCCATGCGAATATCTGTATTGTGTATTTCCAGAGCCATTATAGCCAGCGATACCTTCAGCTCGCGGTATAATCGAGGGGAGTGCTTGCAGGCCCCCCCTAGCGCTGTAATGACATCTGAAACTAAATACACCAGGTCGATGTCTGCTGAACGATGAGCCATCGTGGGAGGTATGCCTTGGAGAATGTCGCGGAAGAATTAGTGTTGTGTATTGTTGTCAGTGAACTATCCTCATGTGCGGCTGGTGCTTCACTTCCTAGTTAGGATTTGTCAGCTTGCCTGGTGGCTGCTAACTATTTAACTGAACTGCAAATCCTCCCCTGTTAACCCCTCATCTGGAAGGATTCTTGTTGCCCTTTCGGGTTTAGCGCTTTGATGTAAGTAGACGCCCAATTGGAAGGTGCTCCCCGACTCTCATATATTAGCAGATGACCCCCCCGCATAGTTTGATGTTATTCCTCTCAAAATCCGGCCCAATATACCAAACGGCCTCATTGTTATCAGAACATTGAATCACTCAGTCAAAATGGCTGTTGCATCCAGAGCTGCTGAATGTGCCCAACTATTTGACAGATTTGCGAGCGCACTGGATGGGACCGAGCCGGACATAGAAAACGAAATATTCCGGTTCAACTCGTGGGCGGCAAATAATTTCATACTGGCCCCTGGCCGAGCTTCGATGGACTGGAGATTGCGCAACGCCCCATTGCTGCAATCGACGATGGTCGATTTGCTAGATGATTTAAAAGTTGACCTTATCAGTATGTCATATGCCTGGAGCTTCTTCCTGGTTCGATAATCTTTGATATCAACATACCCAGAGCAGTCTACACTTCCATTAAATTCCACCATGCCTACTGGGCTGCTATATGAAGCTTCCCTCCAAGCTATCAGTGAGACGCTGGATGGCCTTTTCCGCTTGTCTCGCGCCATCCGTCGCTCGGGGATTCATCGCAGATACGTCAAAGTTGGGAACTATGCTGAGTTTGATGAGAATGGAGTAAATCTGACAGAAGCATTCAAGGACGGTGCAAAAAGGCTCATAGAGTTCCGCATGAAGGGTTCCAAAGCGATTGATGGCCTGCGGGAACGCATTTTCAGTACCGTTTGTTTGCGCCAGCAATACTTTTCCTACCTGAAAGCCAAGAAGGCTACAAACGCTCTAATTGCGGGGACTGACCAGAGCCATCAATTCACTCCAAGGCCAGCGCTCAGGGCCAGCGCCAGCATTACAGGTTCCCTCACGTCGAAGGCACAAGGAGCTGTGACACAAAACCCATCACGTATGCGAAGGGTAGGCCCGTCTACTATGACAGCGACAACAGCTCAACCCGATCGAATTTCAAAAGCTTACTCTGAAAAGTCGGCCAATGAAAGGACATCCTATGATGTGGATTGTAGCGGTGCGGATATCCCTCCACCACCAAAGGTGTCTGGCAACCACAAGGAGTCGGAGTGTCCATACTGCTTCTTGGCTTGTTCTACAGAAGAGCTGAGCGGAAGAAGTTGGAAGTGAGTGCTCTAAGCACACAGAGCAAGATTTATAACTAATCCTTGAGAAAGGCGCCACTTTATTCAAGACCTCATGCCGTATGTTTGTGTCCTGGAGTCTTGTCCCACCCCAAACTCCCTTTTTGAGTCGGGCAAGGATTGGCTGAGTCACATGAAGAATCAGCACCCTGCCAGTGGTTGGACCTGTGTCGATAGCACACACAATACGACATTCTTCTTCCAGTTAGAATCTGGCTTCAGGGAACATTTGCATCAACATCATGAAGGCCAATTCGATGACGATGACATCGACGACATCGCGGCCGCATGCTATCAAAAATCACCCGACGATATCATCATACGAGAATGTCCTTTCTGTCCTACAGTGCAGAAACTAGAGCTAAAGCCGAAGGATATGATAGATCATGTCGCGAACCACCTGATTTCGCTGGCACAAATCTCTCTTGCAGGACATGTAGATGGCGGGCGGTCGCAATCAGCATGGTCCGGATCAAGAAGGGATTCAAATTCGCTTCCAACCAGTATAGGATCTCTTCCGGAACGATTGCACTCGGAATTTACAGATGACGATGAAAATGAATATCTCACCTCCATATCGGGTGAGGTGATTCCAGATGCAGCTGAGGAGCTGATTTATGCGGTGTGGCAGAATGTTCAAAAGCCACAGTACGATCCCTCACTGGATTTGACAATTCGCCACTTCATCGCTCAATCTGAACTGAAAGCGAAGGGGATCACAGAATTTGCAGTTGGGTATGTACTCAACCCAAAATTAGGGTTCTGATACTGATGCTTTCTTCAGGGGTAGTGATGATCTGGATACGTATGACTTCCAGTGCTGCATTATTGCACTGTACTCCTACTGAAATCATGTTTTGCAGGTCGCAGAGCTTCAAAAAGGGACAGGCTACAGCACCCGAGCTGAACAGAAGCAGCGAAGACAGCCTAGAGATTGTTGAGATGTTTGGCGAGGAGGGAAACTTCAGATTGGATGATCAGAATACAGATGATTTACCACCGTTCCTGTGCCAATCAGACTCGGGTAAGTGAGGGAGCGGAGAACATACGACCGATAACAAGATATAGAAAGTAGGAAAAACGAGGCAGGGGAGCGCCTCGCACATGTGGGAAGCCGGCTGACTGATCGTTTTTTTTTTTATTTGTAGAGATTCAGAACAAGTTTGAGGAAATCGCATGGCAAGAAAGGACGCGTCTGCATGAAGGCATACTTGCCAACGATCCTGCGCATCCCTATGCCCTTGAAAATGGTCCCGAAGTCAGGGCCCGCAATCGTTATGTCAATGTCCAGGCATGGGCGAACTGCCGGATTCATCTGCGGGTGCCCGAGGGCGAATGTGATTTTATCAACGCCTCACCGATCATACTCAAGGACTCAGTTACGCAAGAGGAGAGAACGTATATTGCGACGCAGGTACGTTGGCCAATTTCTTGGCATGTTTGATGACCTTGCTTTAGGCTAGCATTTGTCTGCCTCTTACACCAATGCTGACAATAACCGTCGTCTCAATCGGCAGGGCCCTGTATTCGGGTATCTCTCGCACTTTTGGCAAATGGTTTTCCATGAAAGCAAAGATGTCGCCGTCATTGTCATGTTGACGCAGACCTTTGAGGATGGTCGGGAAAAATGTGCACAGTACTTTCCTCCGCACCTGGAGCAGGCTTCGATGATCCTGGTTGAGGAGCCTATCAAAGAGCCATTCTCAGAGGGGACGGCTGAAACAAAACAGTCTCAAGAGGCCAACCCCGCTGATCCCGCTGCTGTCGACCAGGCCAATAACGAAGAGACTGCCCCCGAAAAAGTATTTGAAACCACTACTGACATGGCTGGGAGTTCCGCGGCCGAGAAAACCGAGACAGCTGAGGTTATAGAAACTTCTGGACCCACCATTGTTGGCCACCCTGTTGCTGAGGTGATTGCCAACGAGGAATCGCCTAAGGAGTCGAATAGGTCTTTTGCTGCTCAGGAGATAGATACACCCGTGATCGACCCAAACAATCAGGAGGAACGCCTCAAAACAATTGGCAAGGTTACCTTATTAGAGTTAACGTATGATGTCAAGTCTCGCTCGGAGATTCGCAAGCTCGAGCTGACAATCGGCTCGGAGACGAAAACCGTGTGGCATTATCTCTTTGTAGGCTGGGCAGATTATTCAAAGCCCGAAGGCGACGATCGCGAGGCTCTCCTTGAACTGATCAGATCATCAACTTCCAAATCGGGGCCTCATAATCCACGTGTGGTCCACTGCAGTGCAGGAGTCGGCCGCACAGGGACTTTCATCGCCCTTGATCATCTCCTCCAAGAGCTTGAATCGGGCCAGCTGCTGCAGCTAGCCGATCCCGAAGCCGACCCTGTCTTTGACACGGTTAACCAGATGCGCGAGCAACGCATGATGATGGTTTATAACGAGATGCAATTTCAGTTCATCTATGATGTGCTCCGAGAGCAAACGGATACTAAATTGGGTAAGGTCGGAAGCGTTCTACCGGGTAGGGAAAAGGAGCGAGCGGGCCCCCGCAGGCGCCAGACGTCGGAAACGAGGCTTACGCCGAAGCTTAAAACGAACCCAAGAACATTGGGAAAGAACGTGAGGATAGAGGAAAAGAGAGTCCCATAGGGGAACGCACCCCTGAAAGAGCTTGGGTATATACGGTCTGATTGGCCAGTTTGAGTTGGGTATAGCTTCATTTAAAATTACGGTATTTGAGCAATACTGCCAGATACGCGATACGTTACGAGTGAAGGAAAAGGGTCCTGTATGTAGCGAATTCTGCAGTTTGGAGGCCTGTTCTGGTCACATACGCCCTACAAAAGTGCCCTGGCTGCGCTGAATGAGGGCAGTCCGATCTCCAATCAATCTATCTATATAAACTGAGTAATGTTTCAGCACGAAACAAGGGATCAATCGGGAGCTAGATGGAGGATCCACGACTAGTCAAGGTCGCCAAGCTAGCAATATTTCCCCTGCGTCATCCGGATCGCATTCGTCGCAACTCGGACCCTTTACAGAGGGAGATATGACAGTTTGATTGGGAAGGAAAACCAGTGGGTTGGGTTAAGTTCGCCGTTCTGCCTTTCCCTTGAGGCGACTCTACTGCATCTCTCTTCAACCGTTCTCCGCCAGGGTTGCGCCTGTTTCTCTTCCTCAGGGTAACGCAGAACCCAGCGATTGTTTACTCCATCCCTCGTCGAAAACATACCCCTAGCGGCAAAATTGTAGTCGATACAGCAGGTTGGCGCCGTTTACCTATAGTATCAATACCGTATCTTACTCGAAACGAGAAGTAGCTCCTACAAAATGGCATTTATAAAACCACAAAAGGAGTCAAGCACAAAATAACAAATGTACGAATAACATAAATCAATTATAATATAAATATAACTTATCACTTAGGTCCCTCTACTATCGATATGTTAACCTCCCGATAAATTCCCCCCTCAGTAAAACGCGACTGGGGCAGATGTGATCCGGTCCCCTCCACCCGAGAATGCAGCGCTTCGGTGTCCTCATCCTGACTTTGGACCGGCTGTGACGATCCCAGGGTACTGAGTTTGTAACTCTGTCGACGCTTATATCCAGAGGAGGAGTCATAGTAGCCTGTAAACTGGCTCTTGTTTTGTCCGAACAGAGTCGTGAATACAGGACGCATCGGGGGCACGCAGCCGCAGATGATGATCACGAAGAGTTCGGACCCGGACCAGACGTACAGGTTGTATGTTTGCCCTGTGAAGAGTCGGAGTTAGTAACCACTGCGATGAAAGAGGGGGGTTGGGAAGAAGGGAGGCTGTACAGGTCAGGTCAGAACGCTCTTTCAGTCCAGCGAGGTATTGGATTTTGACGAGGCCGAAGGCTGCAGCTCTAGAATGAAGAAGTTAGTTACGATTGATCAGAATACCGGGGATAAAAGATATAATACTAACACTGGACCAAGCCCAAGAAGGGTACAGGTAGCAATCCGCTGCTTGAGGGTGAGGCTCGTACGCCAGATAATCGGGATGGGAATAGCAGCGAGGACAAGGTCTACCAGCACGTTCCATGCTGTAGGGCAACGATATCAGTCAGATAATCCAGTGAAAGATGTTCTCCAGGGATGTAATTCGCAACATACCTGATATGAATATCGCAAAATTCGCCTGCACGTTTGTGTCCCAGCAGGTATGGGGAATCCAAGGCTCCCATAATGCGCGGGGAGGATCACACTGCACGAAGCCGAAGAGGCAGTCCAAACCGCAGAATATGATGGTAGAGATCATGAGGAACCATAAGAGCCATTTCATCCAGTTATCATTCGGGCCCAAGATTCGCTTGATTTGTAGAGCCACTGAGCTCTTGCCGGTCGCGAAGCCGAAAATACCCCATACTTGAGTGATCCAGTTGAACTTCACGACTAGGAGTTGTTGGTCGGTTGTCAAGTAGTATAGATGTCGACAGCCTCCTTTGTCGGCGAGGTAGGTCACAAATGCAGCTAGAGTGATGAATAGGAGCTGAAGAAGGGGAAGAGGAGATACATATTAGTATGGTTGGATATGAGGCATAGGAAATGGAATGGAGTGCGTACCAGGGTGAAGACCATCATATAGTCATCAGCGCCAAAGCCGTTGATCAGTTTCCGGCCATAGAGTCGCAATGCGACCGCCAGAATGGCGAAAGATGTCTCGGCCCAGTAAATGGCCACCAGAGCAGGGCCGCGATTCTGATCACCGCCAGCCGGTGGTGCACTCATACTGAATGCTTTTCTTTCTGCTTCGCGACCGGGGCTGGTAGGGGCGACTGATATGGGCTTGGCTTGTCTTCATAGCGAAAGGAGGGGTTTTCACGCATATAAGCATGCATCCATGAACAAGACGCCCCCACAGGCGTAGACGTGCAGCTGGAATATGCAGTCAACCTCGCCAGTTTGTGGTAGTGAGCCCGATCGACCTGTGGCTGTATCGGACTCATGTACATTCTTGTACCTGTCTGGGGGCCAAAGTGAGGAGGAGTACCTGCTGGGAACATGTTTAGTCCACGGGATAGCCGAGAGAATATTACCACATCTGGAGTAGCCACCATCCATTAAGATTACCGGCCGTCAATGCGTATTGCTGACACTTCTGTACGCTTTTCTCACTAACTAGTTCATTAGCAAGCTGTTTGTCCTTTGCCGACAACTACTGACCAGTTCGTTAGTGTGATTCGTCGTTCGTCATTCCCAGTGGCTGCGCTGGCCGAAGACATGCAACTGGAACGCGAGCCGCGAACAGACTTGGGCTAAGGCTCCGCCGGTCAGAAATTAGTATGAAATTTGGAGATTTGTGTAGCCGAGCGGCCAACTCAAAGGCTGGGAAGGCTCGGCATGAGTGCTGTCTGTGGGTTAGGGTCTCCACCAGCCGTCGATCAGATTATCCCGTTTGTATTATCGTTTGCGATGGAAAGCGGCCCTCCAGGGCGGGGAGCGACTTACCCTATGTGGACCAGGGCTTCAGTATTGCAGCGGCCCCCAAACCGGCTCCACCATACAAATCAAAGCTTACTTTACTGGAGTTTAGTCGACTAGAGGTCCCCTGGAAATCCAAACGTAGGTTGCTGGAGGCGGCATTGACATTAACCGCCCAGAGGTTCTTTCTTTGTCCTCAGTGCGAACCCAGCATCAAGGATGCCCAATGTGATGTTTGTACATTGTGTCCAGTGTGATCTTCCCTGTAGTTAAATAGTAGTAACAATCCTGTCCTACTCAGGCCTCATCTCCTCCATTGGTTCTCAAAATTCAACACCCGTCAGTGACTTGAAACCCCAAACATACGAACGAGCAAAGAAAGCAATGGAGGCCCTAGTGGAAGAAGTTCGGAGACAGGCCAAGGCCGGTGATGAGAAAACACGCAAGGATATCTTGGATTCACTGAGCAAGCTGTATGCTTCTATCGAGTCTCCAGATGATACTGTCCAGCGCTTTACCTTCTACGTATGCATCCGCTCCTGCAGTTGGCTAAGCCAAGTATACTTAACTGGATATTCCCTCACCAGAATATGCAACTGGCTTGTATCCGCACCGCCATCGATTTAAAGCTATTCGAGCTATTAACCCAGGCCGATGGCCCCCTCACTGTGGACCAGCTGAGTGAGAGCACAGGAGCCAATCCAGTGTTCATGGGTATGTAATTCCCTCACAAGTGAGAGGGCTCGGTTCTAACCGAACAAGGCCGGTTACTGCGTTATTTGGCTTCCTATCACGCGGTCCAGGAGGTGGCCAAAGATACGTTCACTGCGTCCAACATCTCTAGAACATTTTCCCAGCGTGGATTCCAAGCTGCCGTTGGCCATCTGTATGTAATACCCATACCCCGACTCTCAAAAGGGACTTGATTAAATAACTGCCTTTTAATGCAGCTTCAACAATGCCGGCCCATCCATCCAAGATCTTCCGGCCTTCCTGAAGGACAATGGGTACCCCGATATTCAGGACAGTGTAAAGACACCTTTCCAGAGAGTCATGAACACGGAATTACCGGCGTTTCTATGGCTGCAAGAACACCCTGAGAATTTGGCGTTCTTCAATGAACACATGCAGGCCAACCGATTTGGCATGCCTACCTTCTTGGATGTCTTCCCAGCCTCCGACAAGGCCAATGAAACAAGCGCTGACCGAGCCCTTTTCGTGGATATTGGAGGAGGGTTCGGCCAGCAAGCCATTTCCTTTCGGGAAAAGTACAGCCAACTCGAAGGCCGAGTGATTGTTCAGGATCTGGCCCCGACCACGGCCAACGCGACGCAGCATCCTGGCGTAGAGTTCATGGCTTATAACTTTTTCACTCCGCAGCCAGTCAAAGGTATGACCTCTCCCAACTCCCATCGCTTACCCTGTAGTATACAATCGTTAACATGAGAATAGGAGCGAAATTCTACTATCTACGGAATATCCTCCATGATTGGCCAGACCACAAGTGCGTGGAGATTTTGCAGAATATCAAGGATGCAATGGCTCCAGACTCTTACATTCTGATTGATGACATGGTCCTGCCCAACGTTGGCGTTCACTGGCAGCAGGCACAGTTAGACATGCTCATGATGGCGGCTTTGGGTGCTCGGGAGCGAACTCAGGAACAGTGGAATCGGCTGTTACAGAGCGCAGGGCTGAAGATTAACAAGGTGCACACGTATACAGAGAGCTTGCAGGATAGCATTATCGAAGCCGTTGCTGCATAATGCAGAACTTATTGCTGGTGCACGTACCTCTACTTAGCTCAATTGAAAATTGAATTTTCTCCATGTTGCTAGTGTATTGGCCCATGTCAAATCGGAGATAGGGCTCCTTTCTATTAGTTCGGTGGGGGCTATAGCCGCTCTCTGATATGCGGAGACCTCGAGATAGATGGGCCCCCATTTTGCTGGAAGCAGAGTTCATTTCCGAGATTGACCAGTTAATCCAATTGATTACCTCTTGTTACGCTGCTGTATTGTATTGCAGTACCGCTCGATCGAATCATCGATCCCATTTGTGCTGTAAGTACTCCGTAGTACATCATTTTCTGCTATCCCGTTTTCACTCTCTTTTCTCTTTCCATTTATATACTTCTTCTCACGTCAGATTTTGACTGCTCCGGCATAACGCTTGGCTGCAGCTGCAAACACTTGGTGCAGTGGAGTACCAGTAGTAGTGTGTCTAGACAATTGATAAGTGGAGACCTGCCAAAACATGCTTAAATACTTATCCGCTGATGCATTTGATCCCTGATCTCAAAATCAAATGCTATGACATCTACTAACAATTGAGTATACAGCCTCATCTGTATCAAGGCACTCCTTTGTATGCAGCAACCAATTTCTGCAGTTAGTCAAAGATCGACGGTCCGAATAATTGGCAGAACGCCTTCTCAAGCACATCACTTACTGCATTCGGACTGCAGCACGACTCCCTCACAGTAAACCGCTAAGCCATTGCAGGCTCGCTTGCTTAACTGCCCCATTTCTTGGACCCCAACCTAATCGAAGAGGGCGGGCCACCGTGAGCACAGCCCGCAATCTTCACTCGTCCAGTTTTCTTCATTTGCCGTGGCTCGAGTCTGCCTGTCTCCAGATGGTGAGTATAGCTTAGGAACGACTTGGCAGAATAATCTCTCACTCATGTGTATCTACCTGTTCTCGGATCAATATCTGTATCTAGAACAATGTGTGTGTGTGCAACGAATGTTGGAATCAAAGATATATAAGACACATTCCTCCCATATCAATGAACCAGAACCATCCATCATCAATCATCCTTCATCCTTCCAAAAACACTGTCGGTTCCTCTAAGATTAGATATACACTTCTCAACACTGCACTCACAGTGTCTACCCTATCATAGCCTCCCCGATTCATCCTTCAACCATCCTTCACTCCTGACTCCAACACAATGGAAGAGACCCTTACCCAGCGCCAAACCGTGCACAAAGTGGCCATAACGGCCCGTCACGAGGAGGTCAAAGCCCCAAAGGGCAACCCCGTTACAAACGAGATGCCAATCCAAGGCGTAGCCAAATTGGTCCCATCATCCTGGGTTCCCTACGTCCAACTAATGCGACTCGACCGACCGGGCTTCCTCGGCTTCTTCATGCCCACCCTAATGGGCCTCTCCGCGGGCGCCACACTAGCATCCCCGCCCATCACAGCCCCTGAATTCCTCCAATCCTTCATCTTCTTCTGGATCGTCACCAACTTCATCCGCGGGGCCGCCTGCACCTGGAACGACAATGTCGACCAAGACTTCGACCGCAAAGTACCCCGAACCCGCTGTCGACCCATTGCCCGCGGAGCCGTCTCCACTACGCAAGGCCACATCTTCACCCTAGCTCAAGTCGCCATCACCGCCTGGATCCTGAGCCACCTCCCCGCCCAATGTCACGCATACAGTCTCGCCATGGGCGTACTTCACGCCATCTACCCCCTCTGTAAACGCTTCATGGACTTCACCCCCGTTTTCCTGGGCCTGCCTTTCTCCGTGACTATGATCCTCCCCGCTGTCGGGATGGGCGTGGACCCGTTTTCCGCTCCAGCGGCTTGCTTGTTCGTGGTTGAGTTCCTCTGGACGATTATCTATGAGACGATCTACGCGCATCAGGATGTGCAGCATGATGTTCAGGCGGGTGTTAAGTCCATGGCGGTGAGGTATAGACATTCTACTAAGATTATTGCCTCTGTGCTCGGTGTCGCTATGGTTGGGTTCATGGTTGCGGTGGGTGTTACTGCGGGCTTGTCCGCGGTTTACTTCCTTGTGGGCTGTGGTGGCACCGCGCTTTCGTTGGCCGTGATGATTTATTCGGTCGATTTGACTAAGCCGGCTAGTTGTTTGTATTGGTTCCGTATGGGGTTCTTTATTGTTGGGGGGAGTAAGTCGGCTGGGTTTTTGGCTCAGTATTTGGTGGATCTTTTGGCGTAGGTTGGAGGAGAAGTTTCATGAGGGGTGGATGAGAGTGGTGTAAGGGGGAGAGTTGTGATAGAGTAGATTAAGATATATTGAATTAAAGAATAGTTATAGTTCGAGGATTATTTCCCCCATAGGCTATCGATCTACTCAAACCCGCTGATTACTTATGAATGTAAATCATCAGAAAGTGCGTGGCAGAAAATAGGGTGTCTAGTTATTGATCTTTGCAACATGCTGCATCAACATTCTCAGCAAGCAGTTAGGTAGGGTAAGTCTCTAGATACTAAGCAGTAGTAAGCAGTAGTATTGTGGGGGCCAAACAAAGAATCAACATCTACAGTCACATAACTCCAGATCTTCTAAATCTTTATCCGTAAGTGGGTCACTAATTGGGGGCCACCACAAGGTCTGCATCAAACGCGATCCTGTCCAACTCGAATCTGGGGGTCGAGCTGGCCCTCATACTCATGGATTATCGTTGCTCTCCAGAGATGCACCACGTTGCTGATGCAGATCTGTAGAGTTCTGGAAACATCCCTATTTGGTGTCATGATCTGGGTCCATGAACTGAATATTTGAAGTAGTACTATAGATGATCCCAACAAGCATGCTACAAACATAGGAAAACGTGGCTAGCCATCTACAAGCCCCCTGTTCCCACTCAGATCAATTGTTCACCTCAAATCGGGCGTAAAGGTTGATCCTTCACAAGTCTAAATTTATATCTAACTCGCAGGATCCGTGTTTATTTAGGAGTAAAACATACTTATATCTAAGCTGCGACCCATCTGAAATCATGCTGTCTCCCCAGCAAACAACAGAATAGCGTAATATCATGGTCTATTGGCAGTCTTGGTTCCTCCTTTTGGGGACGGTTGTCTCCTTCAACGCTTTTGAGCAACATTTCCCTGACGGTATTCTTCATAAATGCCCCTTTTCTTTCCTTCAACCCTGTAGTGCTCTCTCGGCTAACTAATATTTTGATAGGTCTCTCTCCTTACGGCCTCTTGCCAACATCCCCTCTTAGCCCTTTCTTGCACTCTAATGGCAACAACCAAAATCAGCATTCCAACCTCGAACACCCCCCATGGAAGGACATCTCGCCCTCAGGAGGCCCCCCTGACACAGGTGTTACACGTCACTACAACTTTACCATCACACGGGATATCACCGCCCCAGATGGCTACCAGAAGAGCGGCATCCTCATCAACGGGCAATTTCCCGGCCCATTAATCGAAGCCAACTGGGGCGACATGATCTTCGTCACCGTCAACAACATGATCACGACCGACACAGCAGAAGGCTTGACCCTGCACTGGCATGGACTCACACAAGCCAAGACTCCCTGGGAAGACGGAGTCCCCGGCATCACCCAGTGCCCTATCGCCCCCGGAGGAAGCTTCACTTACACCTTCCAAGCCGACCAGTACGGCACCAGCTGGTACCATTCCCACTACAGCGCCCAGTACACCGATGGTGCATACGGGCCCATGATCATCCACGGCCCTGTCCAGCCCGAAGCCACCTACGACTATGACCTAGGGCCCGTCATCATCTCCGACTACAGCCATTTGAGCTACTTCGAAGTCCTAGAAAGCATCTTCTCCATCCCCCCGGTCTTCCCCAACGTCGACAACAACCTGATCAACGGCCGCGGCGCCTACAACTGCAACAGCAGCTCCACTACCACCTGCAGCCCCAGCTCCAGCCTATCCCGCTTCAACTTCTCCTCCGGCAAAACCCATCGTCTCCGACTAATGAATACGGGTTCCAACGCGAACCAGAAATTCACCATCGACAACCATACCATGACCGTGATCGCCAACGACTTCGTCCCCGTACACCCCTACACCACCGACGTCGTCACCCTCGGTGTCGGCCAGCGCACCGACGTAATAGTAACAGCCACCGGCAACCCAACAGACTCATACTGGATGCGCGCCTCCATCGACATGACCTGCCTCAACGCCACAGCCAGCATCCCCACAGTCAAAGCCGCCATCTACTACGAACACGCCGACACAGCAACCTGGCCAGCCACCACCACCACAACAACCTGGGAAAGCAACAACTGCGCCAACGACCCCCTCAACCTCACAGTCCCTTACTACCCCCAAACACCCCCATCTACACCCGCCGCCACCCAAACCATCGAAATCACCCTCGCCCAAAACACCACCGGCCACACCTTATTCTACATCAACAACTCCACCTTCCGCTCAGACTACAACACCCCTCTCCTCCTCCTGGGAAAATCCGGTAATTTCTCAGACCCAGACCCAGACCTGAACGCCTACAACTTCGGCTCTAATTCCTCCGTTCGTCTCATCATCTACAATCTCTTCTCCATGCAGCACCCGCTGCACCTCCACGGCCATAACTACTGGGTGCTAGCCCAGGGAAGAGGGACCTGGGATGGAGTCGTCACTAATCCTATAAACCCTCAACGTCGCGATACACAGATCGTCCAGCCAGGTACGGAGGATAGTCCCGCGTATGTGGTGCTTGAATGGCAGGCGAATAATCCCGGTGTTTGGCCGCTTCATTGTCATATGTCGTGGCATGTTAGTGTGGGTTTGCTTTTGAATGTGGTTGTAAGTTTCCTTCCTTCATTTCTTTCTGTCTTGGTTGTGCTCTATTGTGATGGGTTAATCGCTAATGGGTATTTTCTGTGGTAAAGGAACGACCCGAGGATATTGAAAGACTTGCTATTCCGGAGTCTATGGCGCAGACGTGTCGGGATTGGACGGCTTTTAGTAATCGGGGTTTTGTGGATGAGATTGATTCGGGGGTGTGATTTAGTACTTGTATATTTTGTATCCTACATTTCGTATACTACTTGTTCAGAACTGGGCATTGTAAGACTTCAGTGTTAGTATATACTTTACCAGATAATATCCTGAGACAAGGAGAGAGTATTTGCATATAAGCAATCATTATTACCAAACTAGCTACACACTGCAATTCCAGTGTTATCAGTCACTAATAACCCAACACATTAAACACATTACCACAAAACGACATCAGCCCAACCACCTTTGCACACCCACCCACCCTGTCATCACACTGTCCCCCAAGCTAACTCAACCATTTACGACATCTCCACAACCTCACCCGTAATCTCACCCTTCTCCTTCTCCACCACCAGATCGCCCACCTCCTTAACACCTGACAATCCCAAACTATCATAGATTCTCTCCATGCGCTGACGATCCGCCTCGGCAATACTATCCATACCACCACCGAAGAAGATATCCAATTCCTCAAGGGTCTTATCCTTCGTCTCAGGGGCAAACTTCCAGATGAAAAGACCACCCAACGCACTGAAAATAGCGAAGAAGATATAAGTACCGTACTTCATGGATTTCAGCATGTCCTTGGTGGTCAGACCGATGACGAAGTTGAACATCCAGTTGGTCGAGGCGACGATGGAGACACCGCGAGAGCGGGTACTGTTGGGGAAGATTTCCTGGGCAAGAACCCATGTGACGGGACCTGTAATTTTCCATGAGTGGTTAGTATTTGTTATGAGGGAGGGGGGTGGAGGGGGAGTGGTTGGTATGTACGTACCCCAAGAGTAGGCGAAGTTGACGGCAAACAGCCAGATGAACGCAATGGCTACCCATCCCTGGGCCTTATCCAGACCCTCGTTCTTGTTCCAGTTATCTTCGTACAGGCCCTCCACGATGGCGACCACAATGTGACAGCAGAACATGCCGATCGCTCCGGCGATCAGGAAGGTCTTACGACCGAACTTGTCGAGCAGGAGCACTGCAGGCAGGGTGAAGATAATCTGGAGAATACCGGTGACACCGGTGGCCAGGAGGGTCTGTTTGGTGGAGGAAAAACCGAACGATGAGAAGATCTGAGGGGCGTAGTAGAGGACAGCGTTGATACCGGTGAATTGTTGGAAGATCATGGCTCCTGTTTACGAATACTATTGTTAGATATGTCATTGAGGATGAAGACGGGTGGAATAACATACCGCATCCCAGAACAAGACGCTTGAACATGTTGGGAGCAAAAAGCATCTTCCAGGGGGCAAGCTTGCCACCCTGACGGATCGCTTCGGCTTCAGATTCCTCATCAAAGAGAACAGCAGCTTTGATTTCGAGAATTTCAGCGCGCAGAAGGGGGTCGTTTGGTGGCAGTCGTCTGAGCTTGGAGAGGGCGGCGGTCGCTTCTTCTTCGCGGTGCTTGGACATCAGCCAGCGAGGGGAGAAGGGGAAGAAGAACATCCCGAAGAACAGAATCCAGGCAAACAAAATCTGCAGGGCGAGGGGCAGGCGCCACGCGATGGTCTTCTGTCCCAAGCATGTGTGTCCGTGGTTCTGCGCAGCGTTGTAGGTGCCATCGGCGAGGTAGGGGTTGGAGATGCCTTCGGGATTGCAGGTAGTGCCGCCGACGTATTGCATTCCTGATGCAGGGTTAGAAACAGAGTATTATGCATAGACAGCGAAGGGAAAATGTACCATAATCCAGCCAGAAAGCGATCGATGTACCGATGGTGATGGACAATTGTTGCAGGGAGACCAAAGAACCTCTCAGCTCTGGAGGCGCAATTTCGGCTTGATAAAGTGGAATAACCTACACCGATTAGCACAAGAAAAGAAGAATAAGAGAATCGCTTACCTGACTGAACATGCCAATACCGATACCACCGACGATACGACCAGCAAAGAAGTACGACGGCTTCTGGGCGCCGGCTTGAAGACTAGAGCCCAGAGTGAAAATTATCACAGCAACCATCATAGAGTACTTGCGAGAAATGCGATCCGCGAGGTAACCATTGAACAGCGCACCAGCCCAAGCACCCAACTCCAAAGAAGCAACCAGCCATCCCTGGACGGTTGAGCCCATGAAGTACGGGAAATGGTTCTCGAAATTTTCCATGACCAGGACGGGACTCATGACACCCTGATCATATCCGTACATGATACAACCAAGGGAGGCGAACGCACATGTCGCAAAGACATAGGGATTTTTGAGCATGCCCATCAAGCCATGAGGCTTCTCGGCGTTGGTACGACCAACGACAGATTGACTGACCACCATCGTGACAAGCTTTCACCTCAAGTGCCAAGAATATGCTTCGAAGGCAAAATCGTGCAAAGAAACGGGAGAAAAGTCAAGTCAAGCCTCGCCAAGCGACACAGCAACACGAGGGACGCCGTGTATTATAAGCACGCCGTCTCGCCACGAACCTCAGCATCGGCGCAAGGCATTTTTGTGGCGTCTGGTTAGGGCTCGGTTACGAATTGAGGCCCAACAGCCAAGAAGCCATACCGGGCAATTGTCGGGATAGGATTCTGGCTCGCTCGTAGCGTTCACCCACTGGCGAGGGTCGGCGTGATGGTCCTGGCTCTCAATTTCCCAGCGAAAGAGCCAGTCGAGGCCGCTGGAAAACGCCACCAAAAAAAAATCCCGGCTAGTCTTTAGCCGCCTGTGACACACCCTCACCCCATGGGCGACCTCGACCCGGGGTATTACCCCAGAAATAGTAGACAGGGGCCGTTAGCTTCGCTGGTAGTGGCCCATTTGACCAAAGAGACGCACTTGGAAGTTGTAAGCAGCACGTGGCTTACTGGAGGAAAACAAGGACCTCGCTTCCAGAGTACAACATAAGGCATACGCATGTCAGAAAAGGGTCCTACTGCAACCCCAAATGTCACGTTGCCTTGCCCTATGGGGGATTGGTTGGGGATCTGGGGAAATCTGGGAACAAACAACGGCATGGCGAAAAGAACAGGAACCGGCTAGATCCACGTGGCGGCGTCAGCTCTCACGTGCATGAGCTTAGCGTGGTTGTCAACGTGTCTCTCTGAGACTTCGGAGTTATGAACACGATTCCTGCTCCAGGTCTCGCAATCGAGGTGAAAAGAAGCGAGCAATGTATCCAATCACCGTATCGCATGGCCGGGCACGGGCCGTGTGGGCGAGTCTGGGCCCTCATCGGCTGTCGGCCGTCGGCAGCGGCCGAACTCTAACAAATTGCCCGGCTCTTGATGCGGCACCACTTCGGGATGGTCTTTCAGAAGGAGTTGACTGTGCAGATGACCCTTGACCGGGGTAATGTCCTAGTTTGATTCCTATTAGGCCCCCCAGACGCCACTGCAGGCACATGATCGTAAGATGAGGTGATCAAAAGCCTTTCAATATGGCAAAGTGGGGGAAAGTTGAGTCTGCTGATGAAAAGTTAAGATGGAAAAATGGAACGTAAACAATACTCAAAGTGTTGCTCACAGGGAAAGGACTTAGCCGTAAATTGGCATTTACCCTTAGGGAATGGTATAGCCTTTCGATCGTCACCTGCCAAGTAGACCCCCTCTGCTGCGACCTCCAATGGTTGTTGCGACCTCCAATGGTTTTTGTGCCACGGCTTCTCCTGCATCTTGACGAACCGTCATCGACAAAATCGATTTGCATCCACGAGGTGAATGATCTTCCGATCAGTCTAGAAAACATCGAACCTTAACCCTTCGTTTGTAGCAACCCGTGGGGCTGCAATAAATGCGTGGCGTCTTGTCCGATCATGGATCATCTCGCTTGAGCAGGTTTTTTGACATATGCGCTATCGGGCTAACCCCCCGGCTTTTGATGATTTGAGGTTTGCTGGTCTAGAGTGTATATCATTCTGGCATGAACACAGTCTGATCAAAACTGATAACTTTCAATTGTTGTCAAACAATCCTTGACGCTGCTGTATCTTTCGAGTGTCCTGGATGGCCTACTTAGACACACTTGTCAGAAACTTTAGCTCAATAGTGATTCTATAGAGGGTAGGAAGTTATTGAACCCAACTGTTGTCTCACAAAGAGACCTGGAGACAGACGGACTTGAACCTACGGCTCCAACAAATGCTAAGAGGAATTGGTAACGTCTATATTGTCCATTTAAGTTTGGGCCGACATGGGGCAAAACTTGATTCTGACCAGAGATAGACATAGTCTTATGAGATGATCTTAGGTGAGAGCGAGACAATATTGTGCCGGAGTAGGAGGGGAAGTGGACGGCAAAGATTGAGTTGAACAGTCAGTCGCTAGAGAGGTGAATCGACCACGTGAGAATCACACCGAGCCTCCTGTCTCTACTTTTATTTTATTTTCGGACGGTTAATGGCTACAGTACATGAAGTAAGATGGAGTGGTTCTGGACGGTTCTGGACCCTCCTTAGTATGATTGAAGATCTCTCCACCTTGAGTAACAACTCCATGGTTTGTAGTATCTTAAGAATATTGTAACAAAATGATAAGACCCATTATATCCTAGCAATTATGAAATGGATCGAGATGCATGACAATGACCACTTCTAGTGTATTCCCACTATCAACCGACAAGATACCTGTAAAACATTCCAGCACTGCAAATCATAATTCCTGCATAACAATTATACCCTCAGATCGATGATTATATATGATTAGTTTTACGACCGCCGCTTAAAGTTCAAGCCATAAGTATCATGCACGGCGACGACCTCTAGCTGTTTGCCAGCACCAGGCGCCACAGCAATCTCTGAAGGTCTATCAGGGTCGATTTCACCTTTCTCGCTTGCCTCCAGACCATCGGCGGACTTTTCGACCACGTCCCACTCTGTTCCTGCCGCGACCTCCAGGTTCTGACCCCGGGTTTCTCGCACAAAGACGAAGCAGAAGAGTGCAGCGGCAATGTCGAAAGCCATGAACAACAGAAAGGTGTTTGCACCGATGTTATCAATCATGTAGGGACTGGCAAAAGAGAAACAGAATGATGTTGCCCAGTGAGCCAACATACTGCATGCTAGTCCCAGGGCTCGAATAC